GTAGAGTATATGATGAAATTGAGTGTCTTTGTAGCGATTTTCCTTTTTTTCCACCTTTTTATTATTCTTGATTATTTGAAAAATGAAAAATTTGGCTATATGCATTGTTTATTTGCAATAGAGTGGTTTTCATAAACCCGTGAAACAAAGTGTAATAATTAGAGTGTAATAGATCGTAATAGTTGCGTAGAGACAATAAAAAACAAAAGAGCCAAAGTGTAATAGCGATAAATACGCTAAAGTGTGTTTCACGGGTTAATGAAAACGGGAGAGCCTACGTAGCACTCAGTTGATGTAATATRTTCATAAAGATATAATACAAAACACATAATACAATAGAACGAGAAACAATGGAATACAATACATTTTATGAATACATTACATCAACTGCGTGCTACGTAGGTCTCCCCTAATGAAAACCACTCTATATGGCAGCCATCTTGGTTGAACTTTAACAAAGTATTTCTCATTTGTATCCATTGTTCATTCAACCAGCATGGCCACTGGTCTTTTTTCTTCTGAATATCATGGGAATGACTGAAAACTAGATGGCATTGGACATGTGCTCATTCTTCCAGAATTCATAATTTTATTTACCTTGTTGTAAAGACTTACCGTTGACAATCAATGCAAAGCATTGTTAGACAAGCTGGACATGAAAGTATGGCATCACTACCAGGAGCTTTTGTACACTTGGACTTTGAACTGGATTCAGCTTTGCMTTTCTTTGATTTCTCTACAATATCAATAATTACAGTGAATCAGTCAGTTGCACTGAAAATACARTAGTCTAAATCTGGTATCTGGTCAMAGTCACAAGTTTTTCTWGGATGATASCAATTGCTCTATGTGTTTCCTTATGAGGAAGAGGTACAGGAACGTATGATACAGGTATTATGAGGGAGGTCCGAGCTTCTTTTGCAGTTTCAAGACTTTAAAGAAGGTGATTAACTWCAGAATTGCACAAGCATTGTAATTCTTTTTAGGGGAGTAGCTGGATCTGGAATCACCCCCTGTACAACATGCCCCTGAGGGGATTTTCACATTAAATGTCGATGTAGTTGAACCTAAACCAACCATACCGGTGGTTGCAGTTATGAAATCATTTTGCAAWAGCCTCTTTGGGCTCTTTAAATAAACGAAAACACTTGGCATGGCAGAATTTTAATTTTGTATTTTCATGTAAACAAYCATATATCTGGTGACAAAAATGCTTTTTAGTGATTTTTTCATTACATTTAATGGCCAATATCATGGTGAACCTTTTTCCTACAACTATTATGTAAGTAGACTAAACATTGTTACAACTGTCATAGGGACTCAAACATCAGCTTATAATCCTACAACAGTAATTAATATAAGGATAATGTGGGTGGTGCATGATAGCTCCAGGCAAGAGTTGTGCTGTGTACAGTGTAAATCAAACTAAATAATTATGCTCAATACATAATTTACCTAATATGGCATTCATTTCCCGTTGGTTATTCACCCATTTTTCATCTTTGTCATCCATTTCAGGATCATAGAACAACTCGTCATTGGACATAACCTTGCGTCGTTGTTTAGACTTTGAAGGGATGCCACCCACAAGATTATCATCTTCTGATCCAGAACTAAAATAATCATCATCATAAACCTCTTCCTTTTTTGTACATTCATCAGTTTTTTCAGTGGATTGGGTGCTACCTAGCAAACAATAAAATCCATTGTTGTCAGGTTAGTAGAATTTCGCTGATTCATTCACAAGGGCAAAAAGATTGATGATAACACGTAATTAAAAGATCATTTACTGCACCTTTATCACTTTGAAGGGATTGCTGTCTTATCGAAGCATCGAGTTCCATCTGCATTTCTGCTGCAAAGTCGACTTCGCTGACATTTTGATCTTCGGCAATTTCAAGTTCTTCTTCTTCGTTTTCACTATAAAATAATAAAATATGTTCCGTGAAATAGGATCATATGAGTATCTAATCTTGTAAATAGGCCATACATACCTCTGCCATCCTGTTTCGTCGTCTGAATCGCTGTCATCCCCAATATTGTAGCCATCGTCGTCCGCCATCTTGAAAAACTGTTCGAGGAAAGTCTGGGAACTAGTTCTACAGGACAGGAATCCCGTAAAGCAATGATTTTTAAATAGTGAATATTTTTTGGCTCAATATCTCAAGTATATGATTTCAGAAAATCTTTACTTTATCAAAATAGATTTTTATGACATGCTATCTATTCATGTAAAGCTTATAACTTTTTATTATTGACGACCTGTATTTCTGTTGGGGTTCCTGTGCTTATGACGACCACGTGCTAGCCACACATGTTCAGTAATGGCGGACAAGAAGTCGATTACTTGGGAGAATTTCGTTGAAATTCACTACCGTCAGTTGTTATCAGTTGGTTTGCCAGAGCCCTTGTGGAAGAGTCTTTACAGTAAACTATCCCCCAACGAGGTTCGTGATGCAGGGTCTGTATTTGAGCTTCATAAAGACGAAGATAGATGGACATTGCAGAGCAAGTCTGCTATCGTGAAGCACCGTGATGTTTACCTGATTGACCATGCGTGGACGAGCGATGGAGCTAGTAAGGCACGGAAAATGCTCAGTAAAAACCCAGAGCTATTGATGAGAATGCAAAAAATGATGTGCTTGGATGATCAGCTAGAAGGTATCAATCAAATATCATTAATTTACACATGAACAACTTGTGTACACAAAAAATATGCTAAAGTAAGTTACTTAATGTAATTATTATCCAATAATATTCTATTAAATGTTTGCTGGCATGTAAAAAAATAAAAAGATGAAGTTTGTTGTTATTTTTCATTCATTCATATATTTTATTTTATTATTTTTGGCGGATAGAACATCCAACAACAATAACACAAGAAGAAGTTGTCCAACAAATAGCTGGTGTTGATACAGAAACAGCTAAAGGTTGTTTGGATAAGACAAAGAATGATATAATACAAGCTACAGTCCTTGCTGAAGGTAAAGTATTGTTTGTGTATTGCTCTTATTGCTTACTGTGCACGCTCAGAACAACATGATCTGGATACAAAGATTTTTCCATATGGTCCAACCATCCAGTCAGTGAATGAGGCCATTGTTTTTTCTTTATTTTTTCTAAAATTTGATGAATGAGTTTTTACAAATTTATACCTATTGTATATTTTGTGTTTATTAATGGACTCATTCTTAAGCTAATGTGTCAACCATGATTACACTTTTCTTGAAAGCTGCATTTTTTAAACAGCCAATACATGTAGTTTTCTGGTTGGCACATGGATAACAATGGATGATATCACACAAAGTATAATTTTGTTACTGACTCAAGTTGTTATTTTTATAAGGTGGAGACAAGCAAAAACCAGATATAAATCTGGATGATTTGGATGAAAAGAGAGTTTTAACTTTTAAAGAATTCAAAGATGGTTTTACAGCATCAGTTGAAGAAGAGGATAAAAAATCATTGTCAGAGGAGTTCATGGAAAAAATGTATAAAAAATACCTAAAAGACAGTGAAGACACCAAAACTGAAGTACGCTACGGAGAGGCAACAACACCAAAATACAGTTGGAGTGAGACTGATGAAGGTGATGGCTCTATTGCAGTTTTGGTATCTGTGCCTTCAGAAACAATTAAATCATCTGTTGTTAGTAAGATTAGTCCTCGTCACTGGACGCTGAGTATTAAAGGTGGACAAACAATAATCGATGGAGAGTTTTACAGTAAGATTCAACCTGATGAGTGTTTCTGGACATTTGATGGACCTGGAGTCCTTCAAATGACTCTACAAAAGACTGATTCCAGTCAAGGTCTATGGCCGGTAGGTACACTTTTAAAGTATACACATCCATGAATCCATGAAACTTGTAAATATTTTTTGATTTAATTATTACTAAATACAGTCAATGAAATTTGAGAAAAGAGTGAAAATTACTTTATGTTGCCATTGATGAACCTATATAAGGATATATATATGTTAGTGATAAGAATCTTTGCAAATGGAGAAGTGTTGATTAGATGATAGGAAACAAAGGGATTAGTATACTTTATCACCTATGTTCAGCTGTTTATGATTAAATGTGTTTACAAGCTTTTTCTTCTAATTTCAGGGAAGCTTAGAACATTAATGTCTCAATTGCTCCAGCCACAATAATAATAAGAGGGACTCAAATCTGCACACAACTTTAACATTGGCTGCTTTAGCGTACACCATTCCTCACCTAGTTTCTGACATAAATTATTCTGATTTTTCTTTCACAGTATCTGATCAAAGATGAAGTGCATCTCAATGCACAGCAAATTCATGATGAAGCAATTGAAAAGCAGCACAAGAAGCGYGAGGAAATTGACAGTGTCCTTGAAGCCATGTGGAAATACAACCAAACATACCAGGCAGTCATGGTAAAAGGTGGTCCTCAAGAGCACCTCTGGTACATAATGGATGAAGTTGGCTCAGCCCTTAGCCACAGTTCTACACCTAACATGAAATGCTCCCCATTTGCTTATGCTGTCAATGGATCCATCTACTCAATCATGTGGCCAATTGCTGATATTGAGAAGGGTGAAGTCTGCACCAGAGACTTCTGCCCTACTCTTATTGCTGGAGAAATGCCCTCGCAAAAAGAAGCCAGAAACCTAGCATGCATGCCTGAGCTACCAGATGAGTTCCCTAGGTCCTTCCTACAAGACTATGCTATGACAGTGGCATCCAACAATACAGCATCCAACATTCAAGCAAAGTTAGAGCTCCTCAATCCAGAGGGGCAGAGGGCCTCATTGCCTGGGCTGTCTTTAAGATTTTATGTCAATAGTAATAATGACCAGATAAAGGCTGTACTAGGAAGCCTGAATTGCAGTTTTACTGACAAGCCTGAGGATGCTACTGCTATCTGGGTAGATAAGCCTTTGTCTAGCATTGATGGAGGAAAAATGGTCAATTTTCTCAGCGGTGATGACTTTTTAACAAGAAGAGATGTACTTTCTAGACTGGTGACAAAGAAGCTTGGGGAGGTAACAGTTGAAAAATAATGACATGCTTTTTTAAATGGTCATGAAATAATTTTACCTTGAACCTGTGACCTCTCACATTCAAGAGTGCCCTTGAGTTGACAGTTGTTTGCAAAGTTGAGGGTGGCAATCAGGCTTAGCATGCCAGCTCTAGAATKTGAGAAATGAACATAATATTGGTATTGTATAAAGCTCAAAATGGGCATATTGTATGACCTGCATCTCTTCCATTTTTACTCTCAGGTTGCTTGGTTTCCTAAGTCTTTCAACCTCCGATCTCAACTAGCTGGATTTTGTGTGGAACACTACATGAAGGGTGTTTCTGCTATGTGGATATTAAGGTCTGCTAACCCCAGTGATTTCCATTTCAAACCAGTCATGAGCAGTGATTTGAGAAGAATKATCAGACTTGGAGAGACAGGCCCACTAGTGGCATCTGAATGTAAGTGCTATATATTGAACTATGACTACAATCATGGATTATATTATGTACAGTTAAATGTCCACTTGCAGATGCTCTCATAAGCAGGCAACTCTACATTTTTCTAAAACCTTTTTTTTCATATTCTGTACTTGTAAACACTGTATTCACACTTTTTTCATGAATAGACAGACAGCTATACCAACAGACACTTTTTCAGTTTCCCAAGGGTYTTTGCTTACAGGAGATTCAACTGTAGTAAAAGATGCTTTTTATGGTGATTGAAAAGACCAACCTCTGAAATGTCAGTAGCCTCCTCCGCAGGCAACCCTTGTATCTTCCTCAGTTCCTTTGTTATCCTGAGGAGAGGGGACTGGGTCCCAGGCCCCCTCAAAAGCCTTTTTCGCCACAGGAAGCCCAAAAAGCCAAAAGCGAGTAGAGTTGCCTGCGGAGGAGGCTAAAACGTCAGGAGGTTTTCCATCTTTCAAAACTGTTAGCAAACTTCAGTAATATAGCAAAAGCTCAARYCTATTGTTTTCTTTCAGTCCATATCACTGGWACTCTCACCCATAAGAAGCATTTTGTTCTTCAATATTCTGTGATGCTTCAGTCACTCAAACCACTTGAGCTGCTCATTCATAATACACCCAACATAAGGAAGACTCCTGAACCATATGACACCATGGCACCCATTGATGAATACGATCCAAGAGTTTTTATCACTACCACAGATGACATTGTCAAACARGATGAAGAAACATTCAAAGACTTTGTGAAAAACTTTGAAAAGCATTACACTCCAAGATGCAAGCAGTCTTGGGTTCARGTGCAGCAGACAATTTTCACACGTATTTTAGAGCTCTTTGCTACGGTGTCATCCAACCTGTCARTWCCAGGCAAGGGCCATGCTGATCAGAAACAGGGAAAACTAKCTGCYGTGTATGGTGTAGATRTAATTATCATGGAAGATATGTCAGTTGTCATCACTGGAGTTGATGCAGTTCCTTTATTTGCAAATGAGATGGTTGCAAAGGAGGTTTTGTWCTTGATGTATGCGAACACAGAGGATTGTAAGAATGCTGGGAGTAATGTGACTAGAGTGACCGTTGATGAGTGATGATGTACAGTAGTTATAAACAAAATATTGTAAATATAAGTATTCCACTTCACAGGTTTACAGTGCTCAGCTTGAGTCTTATTAGAGTGTCATGTATTACATGTCCTTAATTTTTTTATCAAGCATATAAAGCATGTTGTACTATGACAAATTCATTGTTATGATACCTAATAAAACAAAAGTTAAGTTTTACTGGAAACCTTTTTTTTCTTTTTATGATACTGTGGAATTATTTATTACATGTAGATAATCTAGTGAAAGTGCACTTACCTCACTCCCCTCTCTAATGGATTGATTTAACTAACATTATAAAGGTTAAAGCAGTCATCATGATGATGTGCAATGATTTGTAGAAAATCCTTGAACATTACATTGAAAACACATTGGTATAATCAACAGCAATGAATTCAAGTGCACTTTTGATTGGTGCATCAACCTTCATCCAATCCTGAAGCCATTCTCCTGTCTACTCTATCACAGTAGAATCTTGGAAATTTTGGTACAGGTAAAGCCTTATCAAATACTTGGTACACGTAGCATTATTATTATTTGCGTTGACCTACAAGTGCTTATCTATTTACCACTTCCTTGTGATCAGAGTTGCAGAGTCCTCCTTTACCTCCATTGCAAATACATGTAAAAGAGACTACAGTCATGACTATTCTTTGTTGTGGATGATTTGATTCATAATTTCAGGTTTGGTACAGATTTAAACTAGTTTTGATGTACTCAAGTGCGTAGCGTCCTTTACGTATATACCCACGTGCGTACTAGAGTATAAACACTAGAATAAATACCACTAAATACTACTAAATTATTATTATATTTAATTAACACTATTTTGTAGTAAATAGTGGAAAGTGTTGCACACATAAATTAATGTTTGTACTCTAGTGGCAAAGTGGAAATATTAAAATTTTCAGGATTTTTTTTAATTATAAAATTGTCTTGATGCCCCTCAAAACTCTAGAAATTGTGTTTCCAAAAGTCAAAATTTCCTGGGGGAGGAACCCAACATCCCCTTAATACTCCTGCCTTCAGCACTCTTTAGCCCCCCCCCCCCCCCCCCCCAACCAATTATTCTAAATATATGTAGCAGTCCCTGACAAGTGCGCACTAGCCAAAAAGTCCACGCTACACGCCTGGTATTAGAAGCATTGGACAACTCTGGAAAAATTCTGTTTCCACACTGAAATGGGTCAATGCACAACTTCTGCAGTCTCCTTTCTTCTTTTTATGTGTTGAGAAATTAAAGGGAGAGAATTCAAGTTTACACAGTAAATATTGCTGTTAGTCTACCATGAATAAACTATTTCTATCAGTCTCACATTTATGCCAACTGACTGTCAAAGTTGTTTTAAAAATGACTGGAAAATATAAATTTATANTGACCTAAATCCATCCTCATTCACATCCATCTAAAATGATGTAAGCCTAGTCAGCTTTAAACATGGATTTTTATGAAATATTTGTCATTGCCTTTGCTTGGAGTTTCGCATTTTAGTTCGCATTTGTTGTGCTTTTCCAGACTAGAGCCCAGTCCTTTCACCACAGGTAGCCCGTGTATCGTACATTCTTTTGTTCATTCATTCTTCCGTGAAAATATATCTGACTGAGTTCTCAAGCAATAAATCATAATAATTTACGAATACGTACGAATATTTTCTTTATTCCTACTAATGACCTAAAAAAGCGACTTGAAAACAATGCGCCCTGGCGTCATTTTAATCCAGAGCTACTCTCACGCGTTGACATCCGCTGGAGACCGCTGGATGGCAAAAGTGCGGGATTTGGGCAACCTCGTCCCCAGGGTCTCTCCGCTCGCTCTTTTTTCAAAATGGCGTCGCAGCGATGACGTCTTCGCACCCGCATTTTTGCTAAGAGCGCGCGCCGATACATCGACATAATAAAAGCGTGCGCATTCGTTCTTTTCTGTCTCTAATGCATTAGTTGGGCGGCCTATGATTGGTCGCCCTGCGCGAGCTTGCGCGAGCTTGTTTAAATGATACGTTTTCACTACTTTGGTGAGACGCAGAGTTCAAATTACTATGCCGTCAAWCAAATAAAGACACAATTTTCAAAATGATAGACATCACATGTTTATATTTTAGACTTGAAAGGAAGTTCGTGTAACGCGCGCGCGGAATTCGCCAGTTATTGTATGTTGCTATGGAGTTTGTTTAGTAGAGATTGTGACGACAACGAATCAAAGAAAGGAATTTTCATCATTTGGTCTCAGATACCAGATACCTCACAAAGACCAACATATTGTAACCATTTTGTTATGAAAATGTCCCGAAAAAAGCCATTTTGTCTCCAAGATGCAAACCGTGAGATGGAGGCTGCCGGCGTTGGAGGGCAAGCCACAATCAGTTACGATGTGATTGATGACGAGAACCAAGCTAGTTTRTACAGGCCGGTATTTGAACCTGAAACGCACCAGTTTGCTATAAAACTTGGTAAAGGACTTCATAAGATTGCGAGAAACCGAGAACTCAGTAAGATGAAAGTCAGAACGACACCTATTGAAGTATTTAGGGTTCCTCCCTTCATCATCGTTTCTGATCCTTTCGAAAGATACCTGGATGCATGYAGTAGCTCGGGATGTGTAYCTCAGATGGGCGTACAAGAACTGAAAGGCGAGAAAAAAATGTCACTTAATGTCAAAAAAGAATTACACGAGGAATTGTCTCCTTGGAACTCTAACACTGGTCGCCGATGCAAGTCAGCACAATCTTCAAGAGSTCCTTTGTTTTTTAAGAAGAAGGARGGAGTCTTGRAGTCCTCGACAYCGCAAAACCCTCCAGTTCAAGAMAAACAGGAATTGGCGAAAACGTTTRCCCGAATCTATAGAGCTATTAAAGATGATAGCAGAAWGGAGCAGAACGAAACAGAACTACTTCATACTCATAATAATGATGTGCCTGAAGAAAGTTTTACGAAAGAGGCATTTAGGGACTTCGTTTCTGATATTTCACCTTCACCCAGTTTCCTTCACAATGAATCTAAAAAGTTCAGAACACAAGACGTACAAAGTGGACCACAGAAATATTCCAAAACTTCAAGACATTACAACTGTAATTGCTTTGTATAGTTGACTCTAAAGTGGGATTGTAATTTTTCAGTTTAGTTCATATATTAAAAAGATATTTCTGACTTTTCGCTTACGTTTTGATGATTTCAGAATTAAAATTTTAAGTAATTTATCTTATTATCTTATTTAACTTATCGAGGACATACAAGACTTTGTTAAATACTTTATATTTGTCTAGTTTTCAGTTTTGCGCGCGCAAGTGGCCTCAGAAACCTCAACGCAGATTGGTTTGGGCTATTATTGGGGACACTTTTGGATTTTTATTTTTTCCAAAATAAGGTAAAAAACGTAGATTTACATATGCTGTCTCAGATAAAATTTCGTTTTGATTTAATTTCGGCGCTAGAAAAGGATTTTTGTAGATCGTTTCTGGCTCATTTTTTAGAAGAATTTCGAACGGTCGAGTCTCCTCCCTGACCTTGCCAATATATAAATATATAGAGGGGGGGGATTTTTTTTAAACCCATTTATAGTGCATTGTGACACTGAATAAAATAAAAGTAGACTACCGTATTTTTTAAGTAAAATTCTATTTTTAACTATTATAGGTTCAAAGTCATTGCTTGGGCTCCCTGTGGTACAGCAGGAAGAAAAGGTCCGTGCGGAGCGTTGGGTGTTACATAAGAAATAGGTAAAGTAATAGTAATAGTATGTAAATGATAAGTGCATAATGGGTCAGCAACCAAATAGTCAAGACCGCTCTAAATACCCAGAAGAGGCCACCCTTGCAAAAGTACCTGATGATGGGAAGAACAAAGAAGATTTAAGAGAAGAGACAGGAACACATCAACAAAAGAAATTTAAAAAGAAATCTTACTTTTTTACACAGGTTTCAAAAGAACTTAATTATGAAAGTTGACACTTTCATTGTTTACATTTGTTGCTGTTATTAATAATTAAATGGAGGAATTACACAGGAAAGGACCCTATGGTTTCCTTCTAGAAGGATTGTAGTCATGCTTTTCAGGCTTTGATGTGCAATAATGATTCTTTGCTAGAGAGTCGTGTAAGTGCTTTACCGTAGAAAACTCGGTTGTGAGAATGTGCTTTCGAAAGTTTAAAAAAGGTTTTAACCTTTTAAAACATTTGATTTAACGTGACAACGTATTTTTTGCCTTTTACGAAGCTGTTAGGTTTTCGAGATAGCATTCAGCAGCATAAATCATGGAGCGTAGAGCATACAACAGAAGAACATCCATGCCAACGTCAAGTTCAACCTCTTTGTGATAGTTAATAACAGGAAATATCAGGTTTTCTGGGAGGCCATGCAGCATGGGTCTAAGTTTGACCACCAGATCCTTTAACAGCCCACTGCGATAGGTTTTTCGGATGTCTTCACTAACTTCAGGGTGGAACTCGTCCAGATGAGTCAACACAACAATAATAGGTATTCCTGCATGAAATAGAACAATAAATTTGCAGACAAGTACATCTAATGTCAGCGGCACGTCCCCGTGCTGTACTTTACATGTACTTTATAGGCGTGAGATTTTGCTAGAGCGGATTTCGTATGAGTGGGAAACGGACGGTACTGTACTGTGACCGTAATCGTTTAAGTAGTCCATTTATGAATGTTAAAATTATCACATAATTAGTTAGTCTTGCGAAATAAATTTTTATTGTAACGTTTGAAGTTGTATTGTTTGTTTTTTTTTTACCTTTTCTAGTTATTCCATTATTATATTTCTTATTTCCAATAAAAAAATAAATATAACAAAAACGAGTTTTCAAATTCAGTTTTTTTTTTAATGAGAATTACTTAACCTGGATTCATATTTCTCCGTCTTGCTTTTTTACTTYGCGAGCTTTTATTTTTGATTGTGGTTGCATACGAGTAAGCGCTCTAAGAGCGTCTAGTTTGGTTCAAATGCGTTTACCTACAAAAAGAAATAAAATACAAACAAAACAGTAACAAAAAGACAAAGTCGGCATTCTTCTAGTTAATAGAAGCTCTGTGTCAATTTAATAGCAACTCATTACAGCCCAGCAAATAGCGTATAAATAATCGATTATGTCATTTGATTATTAACAGTGCATACAGCTGTTTGCAATAATTCTGACCCCCTCTGCCATATTTCATATATATCAAACTGACCTTTAATATTATGGGATATCATGACTGATATATTTTTTGAGTTGTCCAGAATGAGTACTTTCTAAAAAAAATATTAGCATTGATATCCCATATATATGAATATTAGTGTAGGGGGGTCAGAATTATTGCAAACAGCTGTACAAGCAATATTTACAAATATATTTGAACGCTTTCAGTAATWTAAATTGGGATTTTACAAAGTACAAATATACGTAATTGTGCATAATATAGTGTACACAGAATTTTTAAAGCGCTTAAGATATCCATAGAAGGGTTCACTAGGAATGAAAAAAGATAATCCTACTACAGACGGGCACTTATAAACGTACTATGAAGTCCAATAATGAGATACTAAGCGAATGTGGAATGCGACATATTTGAATGAGAATACCAAAGTCCAGTCTCTGTAACTATCATCCCCGTTCCCAGGGAGTTTTTCCGAGAGGAGAAATGGCCCTGGGATCGGCCGGACAAATATGAAATTTTTTCCATGTAAACCAAATTCTAGTGCCCCATTGGTTCACCAAAAATGTGAAGGCCAGGTCCGGTAACTGTGCGGTAACCGTGCGGTAACGGTGTCACTCATACGAAATCCGCTCTATCCGAAATTACAAATATAATCATCGAGCAACATCTTTGATTTGAGATCACTAAAGTTCTTTTCTGAGGAAAATCTTTAATGGATTCACTCTTAACAAACAAGTTCGTTTCGACTTACCTCGATTGATAATGCCTACTGCCAAGTTTTTCAGCTTTCGCACCTGGCAATGCTGCATGATTGGGAGCTTATTTGCATTAATCACAAGAGCTACACAGTGAGCTCTTTCTGCAAGTGAAGGGTGTAGAATGTAGTCCGGATTGTCTGGAAGGAATTCTTCGTCAGACTGAAACTAATAAAAAAAAGAAGCATCTCTCGTGTCAGGTCCAGAACTGCACCGCTTTTCTCAATAATAGACCAATTCCGAATTCGGCTTGGATGAACACGGAACAATGGCTTCATCTCGAGGCTGGAGTTTTTGACAAAAGATAAAACTCCAGCCTCTCGAAATGAAACCATTGTTTCGTATTCATCCAAGCGAATGCGGCCGGATTGTCCTATTATTTTTTTTCGGTCCGGTAGTCCTAGTCATTCGCGCGTTGTGATTGCCTGGCGGGCGGTCCAGTTTTTTACGATCTGCCCGGTCCGACGGTATCCTGCAGCTAGGCTGCGAGCAAAGTTGCATAAAATACAAATTAAAAAAATAAAAATGTTATTTACCGGCTATAGGTCGGTCCGTATAGGAAAACACTGCCCTCGGTCTTTTATGTACGGACCTCGCTGCTCTCGTTCCGTACTGTCAAGACCTCGGGCAGTGTTTTCCTATACGGACCTCCCAGCCGGTAAATAACATTTAACACTTATTTACTRGAACCGAGGGAAACAGYATGTTTTGTGGTCCCGAGACCGCTGATGTTTCCCGAAGCGAAGCTGAGGGAAACATCAGCGGTCGAGGGACCGCAAAACATACTGTTTCCCGAGGTTTCCAGTAAATAAGTGCTTTATTATCATATCAAGTGTCAAAGAGAGCAAAAAACGTAAATAAATGAAGTGTTTTTATTAAAGATTTTGATAAAATGACTGAAAAATGGCAATACAAATAGTCACTAAAATCAATCAATGTAATAACACAATGAATACTAATTTAACTATTTGTAGACGAAATTAAATGTTTCAAAACAATTTTGGAATTCACCGTCGTAAATGTGGCATTTTCACGACACTGAAGAGTGTTTTTCTGCGATTTTGTACTTATTGACGGTCCACAACATATTATTGACCGCTGGTGGACAGTTGCCGGGAAACAGTAAAATTTTGTGACTTTCACGTGGTACACTCTCGTCCAATAAGATACTAGGAAAAGTGAACTTTGACACTTGATATATAATAAATATATTTATGTAAAATTTTATAAATACTGCGTGCGCACGCGCCCGACAATAGAGAAAAGGTGTCATAAACATGCAATGATTGTTCGGAAGACTTTTTTTGAAAAAAATCACGAAAATTGAATTCCTTGAACCCGGCTATTGAAATTAGCGATAGGGTAATCTCATTACTCAATATATTCACCCCGACAACGGTGCGAAACTGGCAAATTTTTTCTGGAACCTCTTTTATCATGATTGTTGACTTTATAGTTAGTTTCCAATACTCCAGTTTCGATTTCTCTTTTATTCAAGCTTAGCTTCAATCAAGCATAAATTTTCATTGTCTTTTTTGTATACACAGAGTGTAGGAATTACAATAGAAGCTTTGCTGAATAAAAGAATATATTACATGCTTTCGAGGTTAAGGCTGCACAAATAAGATCTCGAAACTGGAGTATTCCGTGTGCGCAAGGGCAAAATAGGGTCCACAGTTCTGGACTACTTGTCATGTGGACATCTTCATATACAGTATCAATACGTTTAGATACCCGGTCTTAGTACACTAATGAACGGAACTGCAAATTGGCTTACCTCATGAAGATTCGGTACATGTCCGTCCAATATTTTAAATATATTCCGGATATCAACTTCACTGCTGTTTACATCTAAGCCCATAGTGTCGCCGATCCTGATGTTGGCGTTGTGTGTGAATGGATACATCTTGAACTGAAAACCCACATATAAGGAAAGAAAATTATAATAATTAGTTTAATATTAATTTTTTTAATTTCTTATCCCAATAAATTTTCTTTGTGATAATCAAAAAATGTTGTTCATATAAAGATTTACCTGTTTTGTAAAACTTTGGCCCATTTCCCCAGAAGTTGCTTTAGTAGGAAGTACGCGATTGCTAAAAATGCTGTTAATACTGTTGTAAAAGCTAGACTTTCCTGCTGCGATTTGGCCAGTGAGAATAACATTAAAGGTCGGTACATCAAACCGCTCTGGTTTAAGGTCCTGTATTTCGGACTTCAGCTCTTTTCTTGTGCTGCGATTGATTTAATATAAAGTTAAAAAACAGACCGATCGGTCTGCTGAGTAAACATGGATGATTCATTCCCTACGGTGATAAATTTGTCAATTTTGTAGTTTTTTGTGTGTGTTATGCACCTATCAATGTTAAGCCCCCAGGGGGGGGAGGCCGGGCTAGGGGTGGGGATTAGACATTTTTTCCTGTCAAATGCCCCACCCTCGGGCTGCTGAATGTGGTCAAATGCAGCTAAAAATTCCCCACCCTGGGGACCAATTTATTGGTTAAATTCTATTTGAAAATCTGAGGTTTTCATTGATCAGTCTCTTTCTCGGAGCCTTTTTATTCAGTATTTGATCAATACAAATGTTATAATAAAACCCTTTTGTTGTTTTAGACAAAAGATAATCTTTGAAAAATACCTAATACCGTTACCTCCTTGACATCCGCCATCTTGCCATGTGCTATGAGATATCTGCGGGGGCTTTTATAGAGGCACTAGTCTACAGTTCTCCTCAGCTCTCTATTACTCAGGTAACGTAACGATGGTTGGCAAATATCCCCACCCTGGGGCACTGAATTATTGGCAAATGCCCGACCCTGGGCCAGTAATAGCTAGTCTAATCCCCACCCCTAGCCCGGACTCCCCCCTGGGGGCTTAACATTGATAGGTGCATTAGAATTCCAGTCCATAAATTGCTTAACTTCAAAATAAGGAGCTGTCAATCAAACTAATCTGAGGAAATGCAAATTTCACGTTGCAAATTAAGTCAAAAAAGTGAGCTTTTCGCTGTTTTCCCAGGAAGTGCAAAAAGACTTATTCGACCAAAAACTTGATTTCCGAGGCATGCTTTTAATTGGAATAATGAATTTGTTGTCTTGTAAGAGCAAGTTTTTCAGCGGCATCTAGCCATAGTTGGGAAATTGTAATTTTTGTCAAAAAGTCAAAAAGGATGGAGAAACTCGAGAACAGTTCGGCATCGGTATTTGTAAAGGGGTAAAAAATAGAAATGTTTTATTGAGTTTTATTGTGAGTTTTTTGGCCGAGAGGGAATAAGCCTTTTCCCGGCCAGTTCAATGCCACCGTTGTTTTAGTAGACAACAGACTCACTTGCTTAGAGAACAAAAGAAGGCACGAAAAAATGTTGACATAACAATAGTTCTAGAAATTTGAATCTTCTCCGATTTGAGGCTTATCCTGTATTCCCACAGGAGCTCAAATCGAAGAAAATGTAAATTTGTTTCAACAGAAACAGTTATTTGGCTGTAATTTGTAGAAATTTTGGACTGTCGGGCACCGAGTTTTTTAGAGACGGTGACCGGCTGCCGGGCATCTAGACACTGTGAGCTGGTCTGTAAGGACAAAAGTTTTTCGTGTTTTCTTTTGTACTCTACGCAAGTGAGTCTGTTGTCAACTTAAACAGCGGTTGTTCGCTTTGAACTGGAAAAAGTCTTATTGGGATTTGTCACTTAAAATTCGGCGTCTATATCAAATGCCGTATTTAATCACATGTGAAGTTCGGCGTATAGCGCGTAGTTACTATAACACGGAACGAGCCAAAACCACCCAAAACGAGCCAAAACCACCCAAAACCAGCCAAAACGATTTTACAAATTTTTACAAATACATTTCACTTGCAATCTGTGGATTTCTGCCTCAGGCATGGAAATATTACTTGGTTCCCATAAGAACTCAATTACTGACTGGACTGAGCACAGCACTTTTATGTTATAAACTGCATGCTTTATGATAGTTATTGTGGAGACATACCGTCAAGTGAAATTTTTGCAGTGTTGTCGTTACCATGGAAACGAATTTCTATGATTTAACTGAATACGAAGCAGCATATATAACCTGTTTCTCTACAGAAAAAAATATATTAATGCAAAGTTATTTGCGTCATTGTTATTTGCAATCACTTAGCATATTCGGATTATATACATTGGAATATCATTCTCATATTCATTAATTATTCATGAGGTATCCAGCCAATCTCTGTTTGTAATTTGTACCACATGCAGCAACTGTAGACCAGAGGAAGTACTCCAGCCTTGTATTCTATCTTATTTCCAGTTACTTCTACCTTATTTMCAGTTACTTTTACATTGTTTCGAGCTACTACTAGCTAATGATAATCAATAAAATATTAGAAATAATTAATTTGATATAGACAACTTCCAGAACAAACCTACATGTAGACTTATTAAACGTGCACAAACCCGTGAGATCGGACGTATCAGCAAAGAAATCCTCGCGAACATTAACACGACTGTAAGACAGAAGACTGGCCTTAACCAATGGGAAAACTCATCATCCGTCATCAGCTGGTTCTCATCTATACAACACAAAGATCAACACACCTTTGCCGTATTGACATTGAAAACGTGTACCCCTCCATCACTGAGAAACTTCTTACAGACGCAATAAACTTCGCCAAACAATTCACTACCATTACAGACCGCGACATCGACATTATCATGCATTCACGGAAATCCCTCCTCTTCAACAATAATACTGCCTGGATTAAGAAAAACAACAGCTCATTTGACGTCGGCTATGGGCAGCTACGACGGAGTCGAAGTATGCGAGCTTGTAGGCTTATTTATCCTCAACGACCTATGTAACACATACGGGAAAGACAACATCGGACTTTGGTGAGACGACGGACTTGCCATCTATCAAAAGGTACTTACTGACCCTACAGAAAGCCTAACAACTGTTATGCGACATTAGTCACATGACTGTTTCTCTCTCTTTCGGCTTTCTCAAATTCACCTAGTTTCTCAAGAACACCTATAATATTATCTTAATAATAGCTCATGTGTACTCAACTACCGTCCAATATCTGGTAGTCCAGCACTGGGTCAACATTCTTTAATGCACGAGCTATTGTTACGATAATGGCGCCAAACCTGTACAAACTCCTACGTTCACTCTAGTTAATTGCTTTCCACGAGTATAGGTTTAGCAATCGTTCTTTCATCATATATGTCACATCATAACCTTAAACTATAACTTAGTTAGTTTGACGTCTGTCAAGATGTCCAGTAAGTGAGTTSTTGCTTAACTCCGAGTGCTTACGCCCTTGAATAATTAACGTAAAATACATAGACACGTTTTGGTCTTCCAAACGTCATTTACACAGCTTCCTGGACAATGTCCTAAGTTTAACTTTAATTTCACCAACCGCGTGCACTCGTCCACCTAGCTAAACAACCCACTCACAACAATATCCATAAAGCTAGATACTCGCTTGCAAGTAGTTCAGTTGTTGTAAGTCGTTGCAAGCCGACAGTCGTCACTTGATGTAAAAGCCCATTGGCTGCATAGCACCAATAAAGACACAAGAACCGATACCAGCTTCTACTAGAGTAAACCCCCGCTAACACAACGAACCACTGTATATCAACACAAAGTCTAACCCACCGCCTAACATAATAAAGCAACTCCCAGCATCCATCAGCCGCCACACTCTCCGACAACTTATGCAACGAACACGAATTCAACAAAGGCCAAACCAATCTACGAAACTGCTTTGAAAACCAGCGGATACTCTGAAACACTAATCCGCAGCAAAGACAATAAACAAGCTTGCCCCCGACGCAACAGACAAAGGCACATTATATGGTACAACTCTCCTTTTAGTAAAAACGTAAAGACTATCATCGGCAGAGCATTCCTAGCTGAAGCTCATATCTAAGCACTTTCCGAACCAGCATAAATACCACAGCCTCTTCAGCAAAAACAACGTTAAAAGTCAGCTACAGCTGTATGGACAACATGAAAACAGTAATCAACAAACACAATATGAAAAGAACAAACGCCGACAACAGCGCCAACGCAACCAGCGGAGAACTATGCACGACAAAAACAAGATGGACAATTATCAGCCGTGGAAGACCCTACAACAAAATATCCAAACGATGGGATCTCCGCCTTACAGAAAAACTAATGATTATTAAACACAGCAACGACAATATACTAAACAATGAGATCAGGACTCATCTCTAAATGCCAACACGAAAAGAAATTCTACTTGAAGAACACTTAACACTTCCATAGCCTATTGTATTCACACCTACGCGGTTTTAAAAAATAATTATTATACTCTCCTTTGTAATTTTTTACATTCACACCAGCATAACACCAGCATAACTATCACGTATTGTATGTAAATAGCCTAGCACTTAGCCTTTTGTTCTATATCATATATTATATCTAGATGATAGGAATGTTTATCATTAAACACTGTCTGATGAGTGCGTAGCATGAAACTCAGAGTAACAGAAAATC